AGAGAAAATTAGCCGGAAAATGGCTTGGTGATCCTATGTTTCTCCATTCTGCTGACTGCATTTTCGGTTCCGGATTCTACGAATACACCCATGTTTCATTAGTGTAAAGCGCATAGAGCCTGCTGTTAAGCGGGGATATACGCTATACAAGTGCTATTTATTATGATTATTACCAATTATGATTCTTCTAAAAGAAATCTATCACTTTATTCCACGTCACTTTCTTTTTTCCCCAAATCAAAGAAGGACTAAGGGGGTAGCAATTTGAAGATGAGGAAAAAATTGTGCTCGAAACAAAGGCTGCCTTAAGGACTCCGACCAAAGCGGCCAAGGTCATTGTGTTTGACCGCTGGCGACATCGGATAAAAATGTGCACTGAGATTAATGGTGGTTACCAAAAAGTCATGAACGTAAAATTAAAATTAAATTACAGAACAGGAAAACGTACTTCTGGGACAGACCTCATAGGGAGGAAAGAATTTAAGAATTATTAGACATTTATTGTACTTTGGGCAGACTACTGCTGTACGGATTGAGGGCGTGTACAGCGGTCATAAATATTCATTTAAAAAGGAGTTCGGTAGGGCTGTATTATACACAAGACCTCTTTATCAAATATTGAAACAATAGTTACAAATAATAATATATGGAAGGTCTCATTCTCAAAGCGAATGGAGAGTATTAACAAAATGCAGAACAGCACAGATGGCACCATTTTAACTGCAGCTTCAGAAAAAGACCTTCATCAGCGAATGTGATGTAGCATTTAGGCGCTTCGTCATCAAACGCAGGAGGCCTCAGCTCGATTCCCATGGGGGAGGATTTTTATCGAGTGTCTAAATCTCAGCCTTTCTTCCGGGATGTTGTATCCCTCTCTGCTCAGGTTGGCCAGGACAGACATAGAGTTGAAGCCTGCCTCCTAAATAATCTCAATTGTGTTGATGGAGACCTAAAAATACCTAAATCTACATTAATAAAAAAAAAAAAGGCCTTCAATTTCTAAACACTGTTGTTATGGAGAGTGAAAAAACGTAGAGGGTCATTAAACTAAATCCCATACAGTGTAGTCTGTTTAAACCAGAACGCCCAATTTTATTAGATTCAACCGGATTTCCCGCCCAGGGCAGAGCTACAGACTGAAGTGTCTTTAAGCCATTCCCAGAGGTGGGATATTAACATGTTCTTACGCACAGTAGAATTGTAAATAGGCAGATTTATCAATGTCATGCTCATGTACTGTGCCGCAACAACATAGGGGGAACTGCTGCTTTTTCTTTCCTCATCCTTACTATTGTCATTTCTACTCTACTTCTTTTATTGTTTATCAATCTCTTGTGAATAGATCTAGCTATTTCATGGGAGCTTTGATAGTCGCAACAGACTTTGTGCTGTTGAGGCTAGAGAGGTGAGAAGAGTAAGCCTGATTCCCTGTTTGGACTTCTCTGTTGAGCTCATATGACCTTATGCAGTTGCGAGCACCGTAAAACCTTACTAAAACTAAACTAAACTCAACCGGATTTTTAGTTTCCCTCAGTTTACTGATGTTTTCGGATCAGTAATGTTGGATTTATGCAGAATCCATTATGTTATTAACTTCTCATAATAAGCAAAGGTGAAAAGATCACAACAGTTTAACAGCGGAAACATCTACAACATAATTACATCTGATTAAAAATGTCTCACAGAAATAAAATGAATCAGAATATACTACACAATCGCCATGGCTAAATGATCTCACTTATGTCCAAGGGGGAGTAAAAATACCTACATTTTTTTAACAGCCTTCAAATTCTTCACACACACACACACACACACACACACACACACACACACACACACACACAC